CTTATTCGCCACGTGTGAGCGATTATCTATTCGCCACATGCACACGATTAATTTCTCGCCACATACACACGATCAATTATTCGCTACGTGTGAGTGATCACTTATTCTCTACGTGCACATGATTAGTTATTCGCCATATATATACGATCTACTATTCGCCTCCTGCAATTATTCGCCAATCAATCAACTATTCGCCCCATACACACGTACACGTATAACGATCATTTATCCGTCACTCAGGAACGACCTGAGTGACGGACGGAGTGAGGAATGACCTGAGTGACGGATAAACCTGAGTGACAGGAACGACCAGAGTGAAGCTTTTCTTACAAGTTTAACACGGGTCTGAAAAAAATCTGAATATTGTTTTTATTTCTGAAAGGGTGACTGTTTTTTGCACTGATTTCATTTTGGGTCACGATACCTTCAATTAATGCCTTGAAAGAGCATTGATTTGAATTAAACTCTCATTTTACATATAATTAAATGTATATAGCACCTCACTTCCCCCACAATATCGATGAATTTTTTTTATAATTTTTAACGACTTCAATATTTTAAGCTTTCCGTTTCCATGATATGCGATTTATACAGTTTGGAAGTGCACATGCAGCATTAGTATTAGTGGTTTTCAAAATTTCTTAGAAACGAGAAAATAGCCAAATATTTTTAATCATACAGTGTTAAGCAATAATTTACTATCGACGTGTTAAGTGTTCATGGAATAAAATCACGCAAGAAAACGGCCAATAACATCACCATTGCCTGCCTATTATTTGTTAGCGTGAAGCTTTTACGGGAAAATTACAGCAGAAGTATTTCAGTTCTTTTGATTTTGCCGATGTTAAAATGCATTTTTTTTCGAACGACATTGCCAATCATTATTCATTAAAATTGAGTCTCAGCAATCATTAGACGTCGACTCAATGTCATTAAAGACATTACGACGTAATCAACCAGCAATCGACGATGTTACAGTGTTAGTGGCGCGCTGGAGCGCTCCTCTTGTACAGACCGAGGAAGAATTTAATATTTTATTATTATTATTAACATATAATATATATAATACAATACATTGAGGGTTTCGAATTACCGAATTTAGCAAGGCAACTTTGATACTGGTGACATTTTACTTGTTATTTTTGGTTTAGAATAATAAACTGATAAAATATGAGCCATTAAAATAAACTTTTAAAAATTAATTTGGAGCCACAGGTTTAGATGGTGCCTTGGTGTCTTTTTTGGCAGAATAACGGCGTCCTCGACCTATGTTGTGCCATACTCTACAGACTGGATTTCACCGACATGTAGAACAGCTCACAGCAGGGAACAGCCTCCCCGGTGACATCGTTGGCGCTCCGAGTATGAACGCGTTCAAGAACAGACCAGATAAAGCTATGGAAAAATATATGTTCAGATTTGAAATGCCTAGCACCATGTCGAACACGGTGGAAGTCGAATAGCCATTTCGAACTATCGTCAGTTTTGAAAAGATCCGGTCAAATGACACAATTTTAGATCTTCTGTGAACAAGGCACGAAAAGTTCAAGATTCGGCGACAGGCCACTCTCCTTTAGCGCCGACATCACTATGTAATGTTATGTTATAACAAGTCTCGCCATACGAGACTTGTTATCCTCTCAGCGACTGCTGTCTTCATTCCTCTCATCGACTGCTGTCTTCATTCCTCTCATCGACTTAACAACACAAGCGATTATATTACTTTTACTACACACACATGCCACAGAAACAAGCGGTAAGCTCAGTATTGTGCAATAAAATGTTCGTAGGTTCAACATACATATTACAGAAATATTTAATATGCGTCACATTATCAAAATAATGACACTTTTATTACCCACACCAAAAAGATACCCCTTACGCCGGGACTAAATGAGTCAATATGACTCATGCGAACGGAAATAAGCGCAAGGCTATTTGTTTCTTGCTCTTTCGCAATACGCGTTTGCGAGTTGAGATTCATCAACTAATTATTATAAAAAAAAAAATCGGAGATTATTTCCTTGTATTTGAGTGGATGACACTAGGCGGAGAAGTGTTAATTCTTTATCGCCCGCCAGACGTTCGTTGGACTATATTCATATTCATTCATATTATATATATTCATGACAAAACATGACAGTAGGAACGAAAATCACACCGGAAATTTAGAAGATAAAATTCTAATTCTATATGCATACATAATTCATAAACAGCTCTGCCCAAAGATGAATAGCACATTTTCCTGCCTGCGACTTATACGAGGACAATATTACCAAAAATATAGAAATTTATAATACGATAGTTTATAAATGAAGGAATTGAAAAAATAGGAATAAATGAAAATATTGCAAATATTAAAGCTGGGAGTACCATATTATTTTACTACTGCCGTTTCTAACTCAAATTTTATATGTAACTATCGTAAATATTACGTATTGGAGTTTAAGATTTATTTATATGTGTTGTATAGAGTTAACTTGTTGAAGCGACTATGCAATGCTGCGCAAGTGGGCGGAACTGATATGGAAGTGAATTGTAGCATTCCACTTTGTAAAGACATGAGGCATCTTGCAGACGTCAGCCATGCGTGTGCAGACGTCAGCCATGCGTGTGCAGACGTCAGCCATGCGTGTGCAGACGTCAGCCATGCGTGTGCAGACGTCAGCCATGCGCGTGTCTTAGGAAGCAAACAGAGATAAGATGGCTTGAGCTTATCATGCACAACAGCGCATGACGTCTCCTTGTTAGAGCAACAAAGTACCTGTTAGCATTTCTTCCAGCAACTGCTGGTATAAACGTAAAATGTACAACGCAATTGAGGAGAAAACTAATAAACAAATGCAGAAATCACAGCTCGAACTCTTCACTGCGGAAGGCAACGCTTGGATACATGCGTTAATGTCAGTCCGCTTGATTGAAGAATTTATAATTACAGCTACGATCTCAAATGCAACTAAATCTTCGAGCTCAATTGTTAACTAGTCCGTACTAATTAGTTCGTTAAATAATTTATGTTACATTAACATCCAAGAAATCTGGTCTTCAAACTTTCATTATTATTCAGCGACATAAAAAACTTGTCGAGAGTGCAGGCCAAGTGTGTCATGACTGCGTGCCCAGAGCAGGCCAAGTGTGTCATGACTGCGTGCCCAGAGCAGGCCAAGTGTGTCATGACTGCGTGCCCAGAGCAGTCAAGTGTGTCATGACTGCGTGCCCAGAGCAGGCCAAGTGTGTCATGACTGCGTGCCCAGAGCAGGCCAAGTGTGTCATGACTGCGTGCCCAGAGCAGCCAAGTGGGTCATGACTGCGTGCCCAGAGCAGGCAAGTCACGTGAGGCAACAAGCATCTATCACTCTCATGTCACGTTGCTAAGGTCGGATTTTTCAACAAACTCTTGCGTCTCAATATTGAATTTTTTCACCAATATTTTGGTTGAATTATAAATCACGTAGCGCAACTCTACGGTTCCATACACAACATCAAATATTTTATGAAACTCATGGCTCGGAAAGAAGATATTTTCCAGTCTGGCTTTTGGCTCAAAGTCAAGAAGCTTCTTGCACAATGTCGAGCTTCATGCTGGAATAAAGAGACTAAGAGCAGTTACTGGTGTTGGAGTATAGAGACTGGGAGCAGTTACTGGTGTTGGAGTATAGAGACTAAGAGCAGTTACTGGTGTTGGAGTATAGGAACTGAGAGCAGTTACTGGTGTTGGAGTATAGGAACTGAGAGCAGTTACTGGTGTTGGAGTATAGAGACTGAGAGCAGTTACTGGTGTTGGAGTATAGAGACTGCGAGCAGTTACTGGTGTTGGAGTAACGAAAATGTCGGAAGTTCATTTGAAACTAAAGAACAGAGTCTTAAGAATCGTGCCAAACCTTATGTGCATATTTTTACAACGGAAAGAAATCAAGGCATTATATTTTAACAAGGAAATATATAAAGTAAGTGTTGAAGAGAGAGAAAAACAATAAAAATATAACTCTGTACTTACTGCAGTGAGTGACAGAGAGCGCATTCTCTCGTCGACGAAAACATGAAGTCACGGACGGACAGACTGACAGACGGACGGATGTGGCAAGCACAATAACGTCTTTTTTTCATAAATGAGAAAATGCGCTAAAAATGAACATTTGCTAGATAATGTTGCCAAGAATGCGATTCGGAAACAGAACATAAATTATTTAAAGAAAAAAACCTCCACCAACATAACATAACCTCATCACAAGTAGACTTCTGAGCCGCACATATTCAAGGGAAAAGACACATAAAACGTCAACGAACGCAGCGATACGTCGCGAACACAAAGCTGAGGGTATTCGAAATTATAAACAATATAGAGAAAATAATTGAGGTAAACAGACAATAAAATGATCATGATGTAGAGCTCGCGCTCATCTCATAATATCACAAGAATTTGTGACCGCACAATGTTTATCATGGCAAGACGTGAGTCACTGCAGTGCAGTGGTTAGCGGCACTGTAATTCAGTGGTGGCGGCCGGAGATGCGAGTAGGTAGCCGTAGGTTCGAGTCAGGGGAAGGTCAGGTTGTTTCTCGGTGTCGCTTGTGGACAACGCTTGGTTGTCGTCGATGGTGGTGCTTCAGCATGGCCTTAGGTTGGTGTCTCCAAGCGAAGTCTGGGTGTCTCCAAGCGAACTTTGGGTGTCTCCAAGCCAGGGTTGGCAATGATTAAATCAAAATGATTAAATCATGTGATTAAATCACTTGATTTTTTTATAAAAAAATCATGATTTTTTTATAAAAAAATCATGATTTTTTTGATTTTTTCATATATTTAAATATATTGAGTGGCAGTCTTTAATTTATATTGAGGTATTGTTATTCATGGTTTAGTGTAGGCTAATTGCAACATAAAAAATAACACTTCAAAAAGACAAAAAAGTTGAAAAAATCAAAAAAATCAAATAAATCAAAAAAATCATGAAAAAATCAAAAAAATCATGAAAAAATCAAAAAAATCATTGATTTTTGATTTTTTTGATTTTTTAAAAAAAAATCAAAAAAATCGCCAACCCTGCTCCAAGCAAAGTCTGGATGTCTCCAAGCGAAGTCTGAGTGTTTCCAAGCGAAGTCTGAGTGTCTCCAAGCTGGGTACGTATTACCCCGAGGGATCTTAAGGTCTTCGGCAGGAATTACATTGACGGTTAATGAGACCGCAGACCCCGGGTGAACCTAAGCCCTCAGGAATTAAACTAGTTGGGGGAGCCTTGTAGGGGATGTTCAAGGGGGTGACTTCTGGTGGGGGAATGTTCGAGGGGATGACTTCTGGTGGGGGGGAGAGATTTGAGCGAGGCAGCTTCATGGCTCAGGGCCTCCCCGCGGGCAGCCTCCTGTAGCCTCCTGCTCACCTGCAAAGGACATCAACATTAGCGGCATCTACAATTTTATTGGCGCTTTGTGTAAATAATATCAGTAGAATTAGAATAATGATTAGGCTGTTCATCACCTGCAGGAGGCTGTCCATGGCCGCCCTGACGTCGCCGTCAGTATGGACGCTAAGCTGCAGGTGGCGGCGGCCCAGCGCCGTCAGGTGGTGGCTCAGCGCGTCTGCCATCTGCTGCAGCAAGCTGTCCTCCTGCAACACCAGCCGTGCCTCCTGCATGATGATGGACAGCATCATGCACAGCACATAAGATAATGATGTCATTTAATCCTCCCCATTTCATCAATAATCTATCCTTCCTATTTCAAAGATTATTTCCGCTACTTCATGCTCCAGGAAGACAACGTTTAGCAAAACTCCTCGCGGTTACCCTCATTTAACCTCGTCAGTTCAAAGTTACAAGTTTATGCAGCAATTAATCATTTCATGGGGACAAAAGATAAAAAATTAAGGTAAAGAAATTTGAATCTTTAGGAATATAATTATATGAACAATAAAAATAGAGCCTAACTAACTTGCACGATGCCATAATCTCACTCAGATAAAAAAAAATATAAATCAGTACTCATTGCAGTGAGTGACAGAGCGCGCATCTTCTCATCGACGAAAATATGAAGTCACGGACGGACGGATGGACAGACAGACAGACGAACGGACGGACATGACGACCACAATATCGCCTTTTTTCATAAATGAGAAACTGCTCTAAAAATAGATATTGTCCAAATAACGATGCGCGTATCTCACCATGAACATGTTATTTGTAGTTATTCATGATAACCTGCATACAACATGACCCTGTGACCCCCCAAAATAAAAGGTTTAACCCCCCAACACAAGAGGATCCCAGATGCCAGCACCTGCAGGCGGGGGGAAGACGTCCCCACGGCCGCGCCGTTGGCGTGGGGAGGCGCAGGCCTCAGAGGCTGCAACTGCCGGCCAGCGTCTGCAGGTCCTGTGGGCGGGCGTGGATCAGTGACGTAATGATAATATTAATATTAATAATAATAATAATATTAGCGGTGTCAGCGTTTTTAGGCCATAAGACCTGTCGCCGATTCTCAACATCGCAGAACATTCACAGCTTGTTGCGATCTCGAACTCGCAACTCACTGCTACAATTCTGCTGTGCTTAACCGCCCGGCCTCCTCGCCGATTCTGACCAGAAACTGGCGCACAGAGCTGGGATCGAACCCGCGCCTCTCTGCGCCAATCTTGGTACTCTGAACTTTAACCACTGGGTCACTGAATTTATGTGAACCTTACATGAACCTTAATTAATGATTAATTAAATAATTATTATTATTTAATTATTAATTAAATAATTATTGATTAATTAATAATTTAATGTCACATGAACTTAAATGAAGTGAACTTTAAAATAACATACTTTCTGGAGATAGAGTGGGGCCACAGTGTGGGCCTCCCGACCGTGTGGACCGCACAGTGTGGGGCCTCCCAACTGTGTGGACCGCACAGTGTGGGGCCTCCCGAATGTGTGGACCGCACAGTGTAGGGCCTCCCGACTTAGTGGCAGCCAGTAACTGGGCAGTGGGTAGTGGCAGCCAGTAACTGGGCAGTGGGTAGTGGCAGCCAGTAACTGGGCAGTGGTTAGTGGCAGACAGTAACTGGGCAGTGGTTAGTGGCAGCCAGTAGCTGGGCAGTGGGTAGTGGTAGCCAGTAGCTGGGCAGTGGGTAGTGGCAGCCAGTAGCTGGCAGTGGGTAGTGGCAGCCAGTAGCTGGCAGTGGGTAGTGGCAGCCAGTAACTGGGCAGTGGTTAGTGGCAGCCAGTAAACTGTCGCGGCGTCACTTCGAAGGATAAAGACTTAACTGCAGGCGACACAAGAGTATATAACGGCCCTAAAATTCGCACCAAAAGGTGGTTCTACTGTGGTAACCGTGACGTCATTACGGTCACCACGCAATGGGCGGTGGGTCGCGAAATAACGGCCACGCGAAACGTCGAGTTCGAGTCACTCATACCTCTACGACTCCGATATAATAACGTAAAAACTCTACAAGGAATGACTTCAACATATTTATGTACGTAGTCAACATCAAGACACTGGCTGCGACTCAACCGTGAGAGGCCACGAGACGTCCAGCGATTATAACGCCGGCAATTGGAAGAGTCAAGTTTTGAGCACTGCGCATGAATTACCTATATTATTGGTACGGTCACAATTCTCATCAGAAGAAGCGGTGTGGTCACGATTACCAACAGCAGAGGTACGGCAACGAGCTCGTAGTAACATCATCGACGATGAAAACTAGGCCACTATTCTGAAGTACGGTCGTTGTAAAATAACCTACACCAGACTGACCGTGAGTCATCAGCGAGACACGACGGTTATGAAGAACTATGACGGCGGAGACGCGCGGCTACGGCTGCGATACGGCCGCTGGAAATACGGCAGCAAACGTGTGCGTAGATTACGGTCGTTTACAACAGTCGTACGACTCAACGGCACTGTATCTGATAAATGTTTCTGGTGAACAGAGAAGTTTGAGTGATGTTAACTGATAGATTCTCAATTTTGATTGCGCTCGGACTTTCTTTTTCTTTAAGTGTAGCAGATTTCACTGCGACCCTCTCTCTCTACGCTCTTTGCCGTAACCTATGTAACCGTTACATTATTATATACATTACATTATTATTATATATATGCGCCTAAATAAAGCAACTACGGGAATCAAACAGAAAGAATAAAAGCAATTGACGATCGAACAATTAAACCTAGAATCTTCAATAACGTTATCAATTTCCACAACCATCCGAGTGAAAAAAAACTTTTTTAATCACAGGACCATGTATACATCATACAGAGCCATGTATACATCACACAGAGCCATGTATACATCACACAGAGCCATGGCCTGTCTCTTATACACATCTAGATGTGTATAAGAGACAGCAATGTGTGGACCGCACAGTGTAGGGCCTCCCGACTGTGTGGACCGCACAGTGTGGGGCCTCCCGACTGTGTGGACCGCACAGTGTGGGGCCTCCCGACTGTGTGGACCAGAACTAGAAGCTGCCAAACTTGTTCAAGTTCCAGCAGCAACTCACCGTCTACTGAACTGAACTTGAAGCTGCCAAACTTGTTCAAGTTCCAGCAGCAACTCACCGTCTACTGAACTGAACTTGAAGCTGCCAAACTTGTTCAAGTTCCAGCAGCAACTCACCGTCTACTGAACTGAACTTGAAGCTGCCAAACTTGTTCAAGTTCCAGCAGCAACTCACCGTCTACTGAACTGAACTTGAAGCTGCCAAACTTGTTCAAGTTCCAGCAGCAACTCACCGTCTACTGAACTGAACTTGAAGCTGCCAAACTTGTTCAAGTTCCAGCAGCAACTCACCGTCTACTGAACTGAACTTGAAGCTGCCAAACTTGTTCAAGTTCCAGCAGCAACTCACCGTCTACTGAACTGAACTTGAAGCTGCCAAACTTGTTCAAGTTCCAGCAGCAACTCACCGTCTACTGAACTGAACTTGAAGCTGCCAAACTTGTTCAAGTTCCAGCAGCAACTCACCGTCTACTGAACTGAACTTGAAGCTGCCAAACTTGTTCAAGTTCCAGCAGCAACTCACCGTCTACTGAACTGAACTTGAAGCTGCCAAACTTGTTCAAGTTCCAGCAGCAACTCACCGTCTACTGAACTGAACTTGAAGCTGCCAAACTTGTTCAAGTTCCAGCAGCAACTCACCGTCTACTGAACTGAACTTGAAGCTGCCAAACTTGTTCAAGTTCCAGCAGCAACTCACCGTCTACTGAACTGAACTTGAAGCTGCCAAACTTGTTCAAGTTCCAGCAGCAACTCACCGTCTACTGAACTGAACTTGAAGCTGCCAAACTTGTTCAAGTTCCAGCAGCAACTCACCGTCTACTGAACTGAACTTGAAGCTGCCAAACTTGTTCAAGTTCCAGCAGCAACTCACCGTCTACTGAACTGAACTTGAAGCTGCCAAACTTGTTCAAGTTCCAGCAGCAACTCACCGTCTACTGAACTGAACTTGAAGCTGCCAAACTTGTTCAAGTTCCAGCAGCAACTCACCGTCTACTGAACTGAACTTGAAGCTGCCAAACTTGTTCAAGTTCCAGCAGCAACTCACCGTCTACTGAACTGAACTTGAAGCTGCCAAACTTGTTCAAGTTCCAGCAGCAACTCACCGTCTACTGAACTGAACTTGAAGCTGCCAAACTTGTTCAAGTTCCAGCAGCAACTCACCGTCTACTGAACTGAACTTGAAGCTGCCAAACTTGTTCAAGTTCCAGCAGCAACTCACCGTCTACTGAACTGAACTTGAAGCTGCCAAACTTGTTCAAGTTCCAGCAGCAACTCACCGTCTACTGAACTGAACTTGAAGCTGCCAAACTTGTTCAAGTTCCAGCAGCAACTCACCGTCTACTGAACTGAACTTGAAGCTGCCAAACTTGTTCAAGTTCCAGCAGCAACTCACCGTCTACTGAACTGAACTTGAAGCTGCCAAACTTGTTCAAGTTCCAGCAGCAACTCACCGTCTACTGAACTGAACTTGAAGCTGCCAAACTTGTTCAAGTTCCAGCAGCAACTCACCGTCTACTGAACTGAACTTGAAGCTGCCAAACTTGTTCAAGTTCCAGCAGCAACTCACCGTCTACTGAACTGAACTTGAAGCTGCCAAACTTGTTCAAGTTCCAGCAGCAACTCACCGTCTACTGAACTGAACTTGAAGCTGCCAAACTTGTTCAAGTTCCAGCAGCAACTCACCGTCTACTGAACTGAACTTGAAGCTGCCAAACTTGTTCAAGTTCCAGCAGCAACTCACCGTCTACTGAACTGAACTTGAAGCTGCCAAACTTGTTCAAGTTCCAGCAGCAACTCACCGTCTACTGAACTGAACTTGAAGCTGCCAAACTTGTTCAAGTTCCAGCAGCAACTCACCGTCTACTGAACTGAACTTGAAGCTGCCAAACTTGTTCAAGTTCCAGCNTGAGGTATGAACATGAGAGGGTGGGGGTGAGGTATGAACATGAGAGGGTGGGGGTGAGGTATGAACATGAGAGGGTGGGGGTGTCAGGAGTGGTACCACGTACAACCATCACATATTAACTGGTAATACCCCGAGGTTCTCCTACAGACGCGGGGAAGGCAGCCATAAATATTTACGACCAAATAGCGGCTGAAGAGGCTTGTATGGACGGGCGTCGTGGGACAGCCTCGCTCACGTGTACGACACTCACACTCATCCAGCACATCGCGTCGCAAATATGTCCCCATCTAGAGATTGCCTAACTTTATAGCATAAAACTAATATATAATTACTATATAATGCCTCCATGCGCGGCCCAATGAGCATGTTGCCACATATTACACACATGACGCCGACATTTCCTTTCTTAGCTGTAATTTAGAGCGCCGCCATCTCCCGGTGCCGACACTGAGAAAACTAACGTCACTCACAAAACTAACGACACTGAGAAAACTAACGGCATCCACGAACACATCCGTAAGGGTGAAGAGGAGGTGTGTCACACGACGGACCTGCTGGAGGTGGACGATGTGCTGCTGCAGGGCGGTGGCCAGAAGCGCCGTCACGTCCGCGGGATGAGGGAACCGCATGAGCAGGTTCAGGCACGTCAGGTAGTCGCCGCACAGCACTGCACAGCACAGCATTTTAATCTTTCGTCAATGGACGCAGGAATTCGAAGCCCTTGCAGAACTGTTTGCTCGATAGAAATTTAACATACGAAAGTTACATGACACGATACGGCAAATAATTCAAAGATTATTTTAAACACAACGTTGTTCATTCTGTAGGATACATGGATGGAATAGGAGAAACTTGGCTTGACTTGCATTACCTCGAATCTGAGCCCACACTTTCAAAAAAAGTTAAGAGATCGTAAGTTCATCAGCCAATCATCGACGGCCTTTCAAGCAAAATCCACCAATCGTAGACAAGAAAATAAAGCGTAATTACTTACGTTCACTTAGCAAATTTTGAAAATATGGCCCCAGTTATATTGATGTATCGATCAAATTTTTTATTTGCAATTATTGTCCTCATTACTAACCACGCCATGTCAAAATAGTTACTAGCTATAAACGTCTATGCATGGTAATTGAGCTTCTGATAAACTGTGCTCTGACCTTAAAACTAAGCGAGTAGTACTAGAATGCATTCAAATGTCCCCTACAACGTACTAAGATTCAAATGCCCCCTCCTTTCCCTCCATAAGGGGGGGGGGGAAGGGATGGGGGCATTTATTAACGTATTTTTTCAGATACGGCCATGTCTGTCCCGAACGTATCAGATGCCAAATACGCGCGCCCCGCAGTCGCCCAACGGTTGTCAAGGAATAGACCGGATCCTAATCAGGTGCTAATTTCCCTCGTACAACCAGAACCTAAAGCGGACATAGAGCCGCTAATTCACGCGCTAGGCGAGCTTGGGGCGTCCTTGAGCCAGCGGCTGACAGGAATAAAAGTTTCGATAGGGTAGAGGCACGGCACAGCAACTCAATATAGAGGCACAGCACAGCACAGCAACACGCTTATACAATAGAAGTGTGTTCAAACGAGGGTGGATGTTACCACAAGTTGGTGGTTCTCAACATTTATGATAACCTCCCACTTCAAGAACCCTCCCATGCACCCAGCACCCAGAGTTCATGTAGGGGCATCCACCCAAGGCCAATCTTTAACCCTCCACCGCCGTATGTCACTCTCTGGGAACAAGACGTTCAACTTGAATTATACGTAAACTATTAATACGTATTAAGTATTAATAGTTTACTTACAATATAATTATATATAGGCTATTAATATGTATTAAGTATTAATAGTTTACGTACAATATAATTCTACCTAAACTATTAAGTGTATGGCAACCTGACGACGCTTGTACGCAACAGAGAACATTTTAAAGTTGTCGTACGTGGCGGCAACCATCAGTGCAAGTCATTCTGCGCTTACTAGAACCTATCCTTTTTGGGGAAAATTTGTATTGTACAATATTATGCAAAATGGAAGATATTTGTATTATAAAATATTATAGAAGGCTTGTGGCAATGTCGCTCTGGTTACTCGTGTCAGGTGGTAGAGGGTTAAGCGTCACTTATTGATAGCGATAAAGCTACGTCCACCAGTGACACTGAAGAATGAGATGAACTTTACCAGGTTCAAACCCACGGTTATCTACTCTCATCTCGGTGCGGCTACCACTGCACTACAGTCAGTGCTGCTACCACTGCACTACAGTGCTGCTACCACTGCACTACAGTGCTGCTACCACTGCACTACAGTGCCGGAAGAAACACCCCGGCGGGAGGTTCCGAATGGTGGTTTAGAAGCCGCTGTCAAAGTATAAACAAGTATATTGTGGCAGGCATAAGTACCTAACAAATAAGATGTAAGTAATAAGTAAGTAATAAAGAAAGTGTAATAAGTGCTATAGATTAATTACGCTGCGTTTTGATGGTATCAAGGAGGGCAATGGCGATGTGGTCGGCCAGCGGGAAGTCGTCGCAGGAGGCGCACCAGAAGACAGCGTCCCACACCAGCGGCAGCTGCGCCAGGGAGAACTCCCGCCCGAACAACAGCCTCAGCCACCGGCTGTAGGTACCGGGGAATTGGTTACGGGGTAATGGTTATGGGTTATAGTTACAGGGTAATTACTTACAGGTAATTAGTCACGGATAATAAGTTACAGGTTAACAGGTACGGGGTAATAGTTATGGGTTAATAGTTCCGGGGTAATTGGTTATGGGTTAATAGTTCTGGGGTTATTGGTTATGGGTTAATAGTTATGGGGTAATAGTTACGAGGTAATAGTTATGGGTTAATAGTTACAGGGTAATAGTTATGGGTTAATAGTTACGAGGTAATAGTTATGGGGTAATAGTTATGGGTTAATAGTTACGGGTTAATAGTTATGGGTTAATAGTTACAGGTTAACAGTTACGGGGTAATAGTTATGATTAATAGTTACAGGGTAATAGTTATGGGTTAATAGTTATGGGTTAATAATTATGAGTTAATAGTTATGGGTTAATAATTATGAGTTAATAGTTATGGGGTAATAGTTACAGGTGAATAGTTACAGGTTAATAGTTACGGGTTTAGAGTTACGTGTTGATATTAGATAATCAAATAAATCAACAGACGTACACATAAAAGTTACGGAGTAATAGTTACAGGGTAAATAGTTACAGGTTATTATTAGATAATCAAATAAATCAACAGACATACAGTACATATAATCAAATTTTCAGCAGTACACGTGATAGCCTGCTGGATAAGCAAGATGAAGGCCAATGCGTTTGGAGAGAGATATCAAACGCATATCAATTCGAGAGATATCAATACAATATTAAAAATAATTAAATATCAATAAATATGAATCAGCTTCATGTTTAGCAACTTCTGTGCACAGAAATGTTACTCTTGATAGGGAGGCCTTAATGCCCACTGATGGCTCGGGCCGATATAAGATGAGAGGAGCTTGTCGTAGGTTCGAGACCTGGAAGCTATAATAATTTCCCATCATCGATTTCAAGAGCACTTATGGCGTCCAAAGTGGTGCTTCAGCATGGGCGTCTGACCCCAGTCCCCCACACGTCACCCTAGTCACCCACACGTCACCCCAGTCACCCACACGTCACCCACGTCACCCACACGTCACCCCAGTCACCCACATGGCGTAGACTTGTGGGGAGATGTCGAGGCGGGTGAGGTGGAGGGAAGTCCCCCACACGTCACCCTAGTCACCCCAGTCACCCTAGTCAACCTAATCACCCTAGTCACGTCAGTGACCCACATGGCGTAGACTTGTGGGGAGATGTCGAGGCGGGTGAGGTGGAGGGCGAGGGCGGGCAGGAGGGCGGGCAGGAGCTGCTGGTGGATGAGCTCAATGCGGGCCTGCAGCGGCGACACCTCGCCCGGGCTGGGGACCTGCCCGGTGGATATCAGGTTGATATGAGGTGGATACAATGTTGATACGATGTCGATACGATGTGGGTATGATGTGGATACGATGTAGATATGAGATAAATATAAAGTGGATACGTAGAGATTGGAAATTGAAAAATGCTAAGTCCCTCAAACTCTACACGGCTAAACCCAGAGTGACCAGCGACCCTTGCCTGGCACTGCTGCTTCAGGCCGATAACAGCAGCACATTGTACAGGCAGATAACACCACCACCGCCCACCACCACCCACCACCACCACCAACACACCACTACCACCCAGACCCACCACTGGGACAGGGTCAGAGAAGGGCTGCTGCAGGAGGGGCTGCTGCAGGAGAGGCTGCTGCAGATCAGGAGCAGGGGGCGGGTCTCTACTGACGTACCACTTGCTCAGGCGCTGCATCATCCCGCACAGCAGACAACTGCCGTAATGATACATGTGTGAGAATGTGCTGTATTTGTATGCATATACAACTGCCGTAATGATACATGTGTGAGAGCGTGCAATATTTGTATATGTATAAAACTGCCATGGGTATACAACTGCCGTAATGATACATGTGTGAGAACGTGCAAAATGTTGGGACATATATGCAACAGTGAGTTGGAAGATAATATAGTGTCATGTTGTGCACATAACATAATGTGGTGGTGTGCACATAACATAGTGTTGTGGTGTGCACATAACATAGTGTTGTGGTGTGCACATAACATAGTGTTGTGGTGTGCACATAATATAGTGTTGTGGTGTGCACATAACATAATGTGGTGGTGTGCACATAACATAGTGTTGTGGTGTGCACATAACATAATGTGGTGGTGTGCACATAACATAGTGTGGGGTGTGGCAGACATCATAGTGTTGTGGTCAGTGTCAAACATCAAATAAACAACTCCTGCAGTCCCGCACTGTTCGTTCCATGTATTGAAGCAGCAGCTTTATATGAAAGTAGTCAATCTACTCAGAGGGAGCTAACTGACAGTGGGTTGTGAGAATTACTCACTATCATATTACTTGCCATATCATTATTCATGACACCATGACTATATTATTATTCATCACACCATGACTCACTATGCATCATGTTCGAGGTAGGCAAGGTCCATCAGCAGGTCAAGAACAGGCCTGTGTTGCAAAGTTATTCATTGCTCATAAAGTTCAATATTCAGCTCTATTAAAATGTGAATCATCAATAGAATTAAGAGAGTGTAAATATTCTCAGTAGAATTAGGAGCTAACTTTACACTAATTAAATTTCATAGGATATGCCTGCTAGAATGATCAATATCTTAACCAAATATTTATATCTTATTTATATCTTATCATTTAATATCTTATCCAAACATTTATATTTTATCATTTATAACTTATCATTTAAATATCTTAATCAAACATTTATATCTTATCATTTACAACTCATTATATGAATATCTTAACCAAACATTTATAGCTTATCATTTATAACTCATTATATAAATATATTAACCAACCATTTATATCTCATCATTTACAACTCATCATTTCAATATCTTAACCGAACATTTATATCTTATCATTTACAACTCATCACTTTAATATCTTAACCGAACATTTATATCTTATAATTTTAATATCTTAACCGAACATTTATATCTTATAATTTTAATATCTTAACCGAACATTTATATCTTATAATTTTAATATCTTAACTGAACATTTATATCTTATCATTTATAGCTCATCATTTCAACATCACAAGCAAGCATTATATGCTGCTGCGCACTGACAGGCTGGGATGTGCGTGCTGCTGCTGGCCGTATTGCCTGTAGTCGCTGTCAAGGACCTGCAGCAGCGGTGCCAGCACCTCATGTAGTCCCTGAGTTATAAATACAAGGTAAAACAAGCTATAATAAAATGCATGCAAACACCAGACATATTTCTGATGTAATATTGCTTCACATAGAATATGTTATCTGATTTCCCTGCTTCTAGTAAATATATGTCAACAATAACATTGTTCAGTCTACATTACTTTGCTTGAAATTTGCTACAACCAAACACCAGCATGGAGTTGGTTCATCAAAATAATGAACTTTTAAATTAATTACTTCACAGACTTAATGAATCTTAAGGTTGATATTCATGTACAATGTTTTAATGAAGTACAATTGAAATGCTGCATGAAAACTGGTCATAATCAAAAATATAAATTTTCAATATTTAACTAGTGTGATACTGAATAATCCAGTACCACACCACAAATAGTAATACCCTACTTATTTATTTATTATAATTTGTTAGGTTTGCTTATGTTTGTTCTGTGTTTCAGTAAATTGTTCTCCTGTACCACGAGCTGGGACTTTACTGGGCAGACTGCCTCAACCTTTAGACAGTCTGACCCCCAAACAACAGGGTTGCAAACTCTCAAATGTTCTCAAGAGTGCAGCCCTGACCTGTTTGAAGCCAACATCAGGGACCTGTTTGAAGCCAACATCAGGGACCTGTTTGAAGCCAACATCAGGGTGCTCCTCTGAGTAGCAAAAACCCAAAAAGAAGTTGCAAACTTTCAAACATTTTCGAGAGTGCAGCCCTGACCTGTTTGAAGCCAACATCGGGGTGTTCCTTCGAGTAGCAGAAGATGATGGCAACCATCATCTCCTGGATGACGGGCAAGTGGAAGAATCTTTCTTCAGGGAATGTGCGCTCCACGTCTTGTCTGATGAGACGCTTCATCTCACTGTCTTCAAAATATTGGTTCCAGGAACTCTGCATAATGAGCGGGAGACAGTGAGAGGTGGGCTTCTTTTGCAAGGCAAAATGGACATTTTTAAGGACTTTCCTGTTCATGATCCTGCACGCACCTTGTAAATTGTGCCTCTTGTAATCAGTACCAGAAGTAATTTATAATATAGTAGGTAAACACACCCAAAATCAGACTTATTAGTCTAAGTGTTCTGGGCTTAATAACAATACTGTACTGATATATTGACATGAGATCACCAACAAATTATTCCTCCCAATCTTTATTTAGTTTTAGGATTTGTACCAATATTAATGATTTTAGTCCACCATTTACCAAGCAGCTTCAGTTCTGCCACTCAACTTTGCACGGCCACTGCAAGTGCACCTACATCTGATGTATAAGCCTCTGATGTCCATGAAATATTGCACTTGAACTAATTTTACCTTTTGGTATTTTAATGAAGCATTTGAAACTTAGCTCATTTATGGAATGGAGAGTTAATTCATGTGACAATTTTGATAGTTCCAGCAAGATAAATGAAGGCACCAAGGCTCCTGAGCCACTACAGGCTAACACTTCTTCATAATTGTAATTACAACGTCATTGATATTCTTTGTCACATGAAGGGCTTCATGCTACTTGCATTCTTTACAGTACAACTTGATTCAATGTCTGTGTGAAAGTAAGGAAGTTATTTTCTGGAAAATTTTGTTTATCAGTTCCAGTGATATGCAACAGACATCAATAGGTAACCAGGAGTTTGGTGATGTAGATAATTGAAGCAAGCTGTTGAAAAATTACTTTCATATAAACATTGAAACAATGTCCATAAGACAATCATGGCATAAAAAAAAAATAACATGAAAGCTTAATTTAAAATTAGGTAATAAATTAGAGATAAACTTACATGTGTGTCTTGTGACAAAGGGTTGTTGAGAGAAAGATCTTCTGTTTCCTCAGTAATGCCCGGAGTGACAGAGAGTTTAACGCGAAGTTCATCATAGCTCTGCCTCTGCTGCCTCACAACCGCCTCCCACTGCACAACACACATCTTGTGAGGTACACTGCAACACTGCACCCAGTAACTCATCTCTGCTGCCTCACACTTGCCTCCCACTGCAACACTGCACCCAGTAACTCATCTCTGCTGCCTCACACTTGCCTCCCACTGCAACACTGCACCCAGTTCTACCAGCATTAGATTTGTACAAATTAGTTCAAGTTTCATACTGGAGAAGAGAATGCCTTTCATTATATATACAGTATATACAACTGCAAAATTACAAGCAGGTTTACAATGCAACTGCTTTCACTTTTTTCAATGAATCAAGAACACTCCAGACTTCATAATATTACACTCTTTAAATGCAGGACCCGAGTATATTCACTCCAAATGTTTAACAAATGTATGAGAAGATAAATACAGACTTGAAGCATTCAAAATATGCAAGGCAAGAATAATCTAGTGAAGTATGCATATCTTGAAACAAATTCAGTACCTTGATCAATAATCGTTCACAAGACGTTAACATAAATAGCAATAGAAATTTAATATAATATTAGATACTGATGTAAAGCAGATGTGAACAAAACAAAAATGATCAAATTTCTTATTCTCACTTGAATGGTATCATGCATCAAACTTAACATATACAAACATTGAAAATACTTGAAAACATGGAAGAAAAAAAGGTTACATTTACTAGGTACTTTTACATGAATTTACTATGATAAATCATCTTTGGTTTTGCAGGATAAGTTTTGGCTGGATGTTAATTTTTTAAGATAGATTATAGTAGCAATCCTGTTCATTCTGCTTCAATATTAGCAATGCAAATGAATTTATTAGCTGTTAGCTCTGTGCATGCTATATGTCACATTTCTTCCTGATGTTTGTTAAGTTTATTAACAGCTAAGATATTACCTAGCTCAAACCTGATGCATAGAGATACCTATAGATTATAATGCTTATGTATATTTAATATTTTAAGGAGGCATAGATAAATACAGATCAAAGGATCAGAAAAATTTGAGACAAAAATGAAGAAATATTTAACATGCATAATAAACTATGAGTTAAATGCTTCAGTAATTTGCCTTTGTAAATGCTATTGGCAAAAGCCCCTCTAAGTTTTAGTATACATTTGCAATAAAAAGACATGAGTAGGTTATTTAAAAAAATTCTGTATGTATAAATGAGGGAAAAAATGCTACGTTTCATTCTGAAGTATAAATGAGGGAAAAAATGCCAGGTTTCATTCTGAAGTATAAATGAGGGAAAAAATGCTACGTTTCATTCTGAGGTATAGACGAGGGAAAAAATGCTAGGTTTCATTCTGAAGTATAAATGAGGGAAAAAATGCTAGGTTTCATTCTGAAGTATAAATGAGGGTAAAAATGCTAGGTTTCATTCTGAAGGAAAACTACGTACAGCACCTCCCTCCTATGAAGCCTCACCTGTGAAGGATCTTTAGGAAGCACTCCTAGAAGGAACTTCCACCAGATGCTGCGGCATGATGGGCTGTTTGATGCAATACTGACGTAATGAGAGGGATGACTTAATAACACATCCCCTTTGTTCATAACAGCTGATAGAATATTTTGATATGTATTTTTATAGTCCATTGTAAATACTATAACATTTAGGATTCTAAATGAAATATCCCAAATCAGGAGGGATTAAAGACCACTGGCAATTTTAGCCTAACATTATGAAAAATTATTTATACGCTAATCATTATTTTCATTCTTAGCAATCAATGAGTTTACCTGTAAGAGAGTAAATGCACTTTTTAGGAGCATTGCTGAACATCATTTTGCAGTTGAATCAATACACATTGAACATCACATTGCATTTGAATTACTATAACACATTGAACATCATATTGCAGATAAATTAAAAAATTTAATGCATTGAAGTCACTGCTGGAAGAAAGAGTATCAGGGGCCAAGTCTTTTGTTTACACTAAAATAAAATTCATAACTTTTTGCACTTGTACAATAAGCAAAAAAAAATTGCAATGCCAGTGCCAAATTTGTATAAATTTTATTCTTGAATATTTCAAACAATTTAAATTTTGGAATTGTTTAATGAAAAAAATAAGAAATGCATATTTTAAAAATTTTTATACTAAGGCATTTGCTGATTGAATATGGGGCAGAATTTCCAAAATTGTAGATGAAAAGCCTTTTTTTACAGGTAATTTTCCTTTATTATCACTGTATATATAACCTGGGCAAAAGTCAGATGAACAAGTAAAATTATCCACAAGCACAGGTATTTTTTGAACTCCTGGGTGGCTGCAACCTGATCATTTCAGTTTGGATGCTTCAAATATCAATGTATATGTACTGGTAGTATTCAAAATAAACAATGGCAGCCAAGAAGAGATAAATTGTATTATTAAAAAATGTTGTTGTTTGTTGCGACCGTCAGTCATGCTTGCCGGGGGGAGGCTCTAGTGGTGGGTGGGTGTTTTTACTGCAGATTGTCGAAGTTGAAAATTTTATGAAACAACATGTTTGCAAAGTGTAAACCGTGATTTTTTAATCAAACAAAAAATTATGGCATTAGAGCCACAAAATCTCATACCTATTAAAATTATATGATATAATTTCTTCTTGCTTTGAGTCACCGACATGTGGAACAGCCTCCCTGATAGCATCGTTGAAGTTCCAAGCATGAACATCTTCAAAAACAGACTAGACAAAGCTATGCATGAGCATATGTTCAGTCTTAAATGCCTAGCAAATTACAGACCAGGCAATAAGTCCAGCAGCTATCTCAATCAATCGTCAGCTATGGAAAGATCGGGTTCCAAAGGCCGGATCCCTTGCGAATCAAGTCACGAAAAGTTCAAGAATCGGCAACAGGCCATGGGCCTATTTCTTCAACGCCGTCACTTCTATTCTATTAGAGACATAATATTAAAATAAATTTAGCTTTTCGAGCCCTGCTCTGCTCTGGAAGTTTATCTCTTCCTTTGAAGATGATGTAAATGTAGAATAAATGACATTTTCTGTGATTTTTGATATTTTTTCAATTGTTGATAATTTGATATTTGATAACTTGATATGATATTATAATATCCATTCATTACCATATTATTGATGTGATTATTAATTGTGATATCACCAATTCACCGTAGCCATGGACCATGAACATGCCATTAGCATTGAGCATTTACAAGTTACAACAACCTCTTCCACTGCAAGCTTCATATTATCAGCTGTATAGCAATTCTTCTGTATCTGTCATCTTACAGCGATACAGCCTACAGGATGGCTTGTAATCTCATACTCATAGACCATACTCCATACTCATACTCAGTCTCATAGTCATACCATTTTTATTGGGTCAAGTGAATTCACTATAAAAAACATTGTAGAAAACATACCTGAATCTGAAGGAATATTTTAGTGACAACCATCACATCTTTTTGGAGAAATAAATAATAGTTTAGGACTTTAGGTTGATAAATTTCCATTCTATGTTGCCGGTGGTCCGGTGCACAATTCTATCTATGACATTCTTAGCACTATTTTGTGATGATTGATAATGCATTAATTTTTTGTTAGGTGAAATTTTTTTCACTGAGCAAGGTAGCTGCTAGGGCTAGCTGGTAGATGACTAGATCACACAAAGGGATATTAATTAACCAGTATCGAATAGGCCCGGTTGGTCCGCGTGCCCATGAAAGCGCTCACAGAAGGAGCAGCTACGACGCTGTCCGGAAGGCTGTTCCACACTGACAAGTTGACAACCCTCTTCGAGAAGAAGCTTGATCTTACATTTCTTCTGCTGCATTCTTTGGCGAGCTTCAGGGCCTCAGGCTATTACCTGACCTCAGTCCTTGTGTATCCCTTCCGCGGTGTCAGTGAGGATGCAGCTTCGGCATCGTAGGACCCATGAACATACTTGAAGACAACGATCATATCAAACGGTCCCAGTAAGGTTTGTCTTTGTGACTTGTGATCAGTTTGGTCACTCTTCTCTGGTCAGCGCAGAGGGTCTTGTTTCACGGCTGCCAGTGCCATAGCAGCCATAATGAGTGTCCTCAATTGGTATTCTGGAACTGGCCAAACATGAGACTTGAAGAGCTGAACGAATGTTTCCAAAGAAAGAAATTCAAAAGTGTGCCTGATAACGCCCAAAATCCTGTCAGCCATTCCAGCTATTTGTGCTACATGAAGATTGAATTTGAGGTTTCCACCAACCAGCACTCCCAAGTCTCTCTCCAATTCGCTCTCCCTCAGCGGCGTTACATACTCATTGCCCAGAGCGTCTCTACCCTTCATATTGTATTGGGTGTTATTGCTTCGATTTCCCAGAACTGCCAGAAGGAGGACACAACATTTTTTGAGCTGGACCGTGGAAGCGCAGCTACCAGTCTGTCGAAAACTTGTACAGATGGTCCAGGTCACCCTGAACAGGCATGGAATAAATCTACTTGGCGAGCCACGACTGAATTTTTCGAGCCATGGTTTTATGGATTTACCAGCTGTGATTCCATTTCTTTGAGCCGTGATTCCATTTCACCGAGCCCTGAATTCCATATCTAGGCCATGAAAAGCCATTTACAAGGTGCGAATTTATTTACAAAGTCCATGCACGTGTTACCCCAAATCTCTAATTTTACCCTAAAACAGTAAAATGGCAACAATAAAATTTGTCTTTACTGTAAGTTAAACACGTGTTAATGCAGTCTGACCGCTTTGACATGACCGCAACTGTGCGCAATCTTCAACAAAATGTTTAGTTGTTTTGTTTACATAACGATGTTTACGTTTTTTCTGCCGGATATTTTGGCAGGAGCGGTAAAGCAGTGCGGATTGCAGAAGTTGAAAATTTTATGAAATGACATGTTTGTGAAATGCAAACCGCGATTTTTTAATCAAACAAAAATTTATGACATTCGAGCTGCGAGATTTCATACTTACTGAAATTATATGATATTAGAGCAGCAATATTTCAGACAAAAATAGGACTTTTCCAGCCCTGACAGGCTGACCCTGAAGGGTATCTCTGGCAACTGCATCGTCGGTGTTCCTTCCTGGCCGTGGTGCTGTTAAGACGTGCGTCGCTCCGCGTGAATTTATTGCCGTGGACATGATTTTACGTCGGTTTTGAGTTTGAGCTGTTAGTGCTATCCTCAAATCTGAGCTCACGTGTTATGAATCCAGTAAAGTGATCCTGGTAGATCAGGGAACTCATTAAGCCACTAAAAGTGTGGAAGTCAGTTGGAAGTGTTCAGGCCAGACTAATACTTCCAAATTTCGTAAATGTCGTAATTAAAAAAAATTTATTCGGATTTGCTAGATTAAACTTAACTAAGTAATCAAAATTCAAGTTGAAAATCAAAACAGTATTTCCTCGGTAACGAAGTGAATCAGCGGTATTAAAGTGTGATAGGCACAAATAATTAGATATTTAAAGAAAATACAGTGTATGCATTTGGACTCAAGTGGGCAGGAAGTGTGCATTCAAGCCCAGGCCTCAACTAAATTTTATTGCTCTTATCCGGTCGAGACTGTCGCCAACCGCAGCCAAATTCCTTACGCTGGAACCCTATACGCTATAGTGTAGCTACGGCAAGACTACCTATAAAAAGTAATACCTTTCGAACTAACTATCCATTGAAATTGTGAATTTTGAAAAACAGAATTAGTGAAACTAGATAACAAATTAGAAAAAACACAGCATTATGGCGAAATGTGTTGTGATTGAGCCCACTAAGGGTCGTTCATGTACAATCTGCTGTAAAACTTGCCAAGCACCATTAGCAGTTAAATGCAACAAATGTCGTTCGTTTATACACCTTCGTTGTACAGCTCTCCCGCTTTATGTTCTCGTGAGGCTTGACCAGACCAGAGTTTCATATGAATGCGAACACTGCGTAATGAGAGATTGCGGAGATAAATACAACGTGAGTAAAACTAAACTTCTGTCAGCCATGAATATACGGCAAACAGACACATCCAGTACAGCTTCCTCCACTTATCCCCCTGCCAGCCTCAACCCCTCCCCCAATCCCTTGTGAATCAAGTCACGAAAAGTTCATGAATCGGCAACAGGCCATGGGCCTATTTCTTCAACGCCGACACTTCTATTCTATTCTATTATACATACGTTCATTAGAAAATATTTCTATTTATAAAATTATAGGCTATTCTTTCTTGAAATTTCCTGCCTATACTTTTATTGTAGATTGCACTTTAATCGTACTCTCTGAATCGTCCTAATCTCTATTAGTGCCTTAATTGACAATAACACTTCACTTATTAATTAATCCCCTCGAAGAGCTTAATTTCTAGCTCGACGAGCTCACTAATCACCTCGACCAGCTCACAACGACCACAAGGTGACATCACGGATGGAACAACAAATGACATCCGCAAGGTGCAGCTGCGTGTGGGTCAACCTTGTATTCGTTCAACCATGTATAATATTATCACGAGTATCACCCCTACCTTCAATGATACTTGAGTCGCCCCTGAGCAAATCCTGCACTCACCTCGCCGCTAATGATTATGATGACAGGTTGAAGGTAAAGAAAGCGTCACGTGCAGACGGCTTGTAACACGTGGACTCAGCAATGATTATCTAATTCAGGTCTTCATCTTCTCACTTCAGTTGCATTCTTCTCTCTGTTGATGCTCGCTCTCCGAATTGTCAGCAGACAGCAGTCTCCCGTGATGTGAAGTGATGAGAGGCAAATTGTCATTAGATCCAGCGCTCTTCATTATCTTAAGGTAGTTGGACGACCAAT